GGGGAGAGACCAGAGAGGGCATTGAGGCTAAATGACAGGAATTAACACAAATAGACCCAACAGTGGTTGGGGACATTAAAAACACTGTCTGTATGCCACTTCCATGGCCGCCGTGACCCAGATGTTTCATCATGGGAGGGGTGCTTCAAAGCGAGAACGGTGCTGGATATCGGTGACATTTCCTGCCCGACGCATCTGTTGCACCTGAATTATTCAGTGAATGAGACCAACCAGCATCAATCAAGGAGAGCTCCCAGTCCACCACGGACGCTCAGGCAAAGCAACTCAGTTTTTGGATTGATCACGTTGTGAGTGCACATAAGGACGTACCCAGTGTGTGCCTGTAAGACGATCACACCGACTCTGATAGTTTTTGTGTTTGCATGACTGACCCAGAGCGGCTGGACACGTCGGGGAGCTCGGAGCAAATTTTCTTCTACCGCCTGACTGAGCACTAAGAAGAATGACCTTAAAATACCAAAGACAATATGTCAAAGTATGAAATATTTTTGCTCTACTTGGTCGAAAGTATCCGTTGAGAGCCACTCGTAGCAAAGGTTGTAGCTACCACTGAGTTGTCACAACAGCAGAGTTTCGTCACGCTTTCTTGGACATGTAACAACACGAGTTCGGTTCTGTGTTTACGTCTGCTGCTCGCTCACATCAGTGTGTTCAAAGGGTTGGTTGGAGAGTTACCTGACTGGTTCTGAAGGTGATCCGATAGTTGTACTGCATTCCCTCTTTCTCTTTCCCCTCGTCCAGCTTCTCCCTGCGGATGCTCACCGCCACGGGACCCAGATTTTCATCCACGCCAAAATAGTTTTGGTGCTCTGGAGGTAAAACAGGAAAAAGATGAATTTCAGAAAGTTGCATTATTTGCTTAAATAAATGCACTAAAAGACAATTGTTTCAAAGTGTAGGTAATCATTTAATGAGGGCGTATGCTCGCTGATTCATGCATTCACATTATTAGTGTGCATTGAAAATGTATTGTGATTCTGTTTCCCTTCATTATTATTATTATTATTAATCTTCTGTAGATTTTTGCAATGAAACTACAATCCATTATAATTTCTAGATGTGAAGCTCATTTAAGTGATGTTGTCTTTGACTTGTGGTGTGAGTGCTATGTATGGTTTTTGAAATAGTAATCTTTAATAGGATTTAAAACGGAGATATAATGGAGATGTGTCAGCAGCTTTGATATTATGGTAAAGCACGACCACCACACAACTGCACTTTAAACTGCAGCAGGCTTTAGTGACGTATTAATTAGGTCACAATGGTCCAGTGATTACAGTACTCGTGCAAATCTAGAGAATATATTTGTATTTATAAATACAGGAAATAACTTGTTTAAAATCAAGGTTTAAGCCCTATGCAAATGAGTGAGTCCAAATGCACACTTTACATCTTCTAATAGCACATTTCCTTATTAATGTGAGATTCATAAATAAAAGTTAAACGTTTAATCATTTGACTTGTCGATAATATTCTTGGATTAATGATTTTACCATTTGAAAATAACTTTTTTTATATATTCTCTCACTCGCCTGCTCACTCTCTCACTACAACCACAACTGCTAGCTAGACGAACGAGTCTTTGCCCACCAACCAGACAACCTGGGTTCAAATCCCACCTCAGTCACATCAAACTTTGAACAAGTTGGAGAAATTATGTGCTTCAAAAATCATTTCTACATCCTAAAATGTTTACATTTTCAATCATACTGTATTAGTATTTTGTCTTCCACCATTTTTGAACGAACATATTCCTATATAGTCTATAGGTTTATTACAGACATTTACATTTCTAATTATTCACGACTGTCAGGAGATGATGCTATGAATCTTGTTTCGTGTACAACTAGGGCTGGGGGATATATCAAATATACTCGATGTATCGCAAGATTTTCTATTTACGAAGGTTAAAATGGCTTTATCGCAACTGTTGAGTATTAGACTTGAAAATCCATGTAGTTCTTTTTCTCCCGTCTGTGCCTCCATATACACTCAGCCCCTCCTTCTCCCTCTGACTACAAACACAGCACCTCACCTACGCATGCTAGTTTAAGACAAGTAAAGCCCCCAGTATACTCCCACGTACGTCCGTTCGTGCATACGTATGCAGAGGGTTCAGGCTTCATGCTTGAGCGTCCATCCTGAGCGGCTGCAGAGCAGCTTCACAGACAAGGGGCGTTTACTTTCGGAACAAATTGAGGTCGCCGATTGGTCCTTTGCTGACACGCCTACTGGATTGATTAACAAGTCAGAAAAAAAAACAAAAACAAGAGCTGGCAACCTCAGCTGCAGCGGTGTTCTGTGTTTATATGTTAATAAAAAGTTCTTAAAAAAAAATAAAATAAAAAGGAGCGCTGGCCCTGCAGTCCACACATCAGACCAGACCACCAGGAAATCTCCAGACCCTCCCGCAGCCACGCTGGGACTGATTTTAATTCGCTCGTGACAAATTCCTTAATTTTTCGCCATTTCAGTCATGGCATCAACGGAGGAGGAAGAGAGCACTGCCTCTTGGCAAAAAAAACAAACAAAAGAAAAGGCCAGATCAGGGATGAAGAAGGGGAATTTAATACATTGGTGTCGCATACAAAACAGTCCATTGACGGGCAGTTGATTGTGCGACACCGCGTACGTAAAAATTGAGCTTTGCACGGACATGCCCTGCGGGGGTACGCACGTACTTCCGCGTATGGACGTACGCGGGAGTATACTGGGGGCTTAAATAGAGAGGAGAGCAGCGCTGCTGTCCAAAAAATAAAAATAAAAACAATGGCTGTTATTTGGAGATGGTTTGGATTTAAATTTTTAGATGAGCAGCCAAAAAATGTTTTCAGTAAACGATGCCGAAAACAAGTACCAACAAAGGTGAGAACTACGAATCTTCTTCATCATTTAAAACAGCGCTATAAGTTATAAGCTGCAGCTCCGACTGTGTTTTCAGACTCCTTTCCTGACCAAATAAAAAATTAAAAAAACCCGGGTCAAAACTAATTTATTATTTTTAGACATTTAGTAGAGTTAAGGCTGTTTGTTAATAAATGCACCTGTGTGATAATTGGAACAAAGCTTTGACTCAGAAATATATTTTTGTTATTATTTTATGGAAAGGAAAAAAAACAATTCATTCAACCTGTATTTATACAGGTTAGTCTCATTGAGCCACGGGACTCATTTATGAGAGAGAGACCCGTTTTTAACAAACGATGACAAAAGTAGACAATCATAAAAGAAAGCATAAGGATTGAAAAAATAAACAGAAGAAAATTATATTAAAAAAACTAAACAAAACAGCTACATTATAAAGTGATGTAAAATACTAAAAACAAGAACATGTCTGCTGTATTGGTTTGTGCCATGAACTTAGCAGATATTTGAATATTGATATATATATCGTATATCGCAATTTATCTTAAAAATATTGAATGTTAATTTAGGTCCATATCGTGCAGCCCTATGTGCAACTTTTGTATAGAGGGATGTTGATTTCAAATGCTTTTAGGCCTAAATTTCAGCCATTCCAACATTTCTGCAGATGATGCTCATCCATTTCAACGCACATCTGATTTGTTCTAAAAAAAACAAAAAAACAACTTTGCTCTCTGGTTGTCAACATCAAAACAATTACAAATGCCATAATATAATAAAAAAAATTGTGATTGCTTAAATATTTTCAAAAATTATGTTTCTTTGACATTTCCTTTTAGCTTGCGTTGTGTCATTTAGCTTGTATGTACACCGCTGCTACCGTCTCTGAGTTTCACCAACCAGATGTTCCTGTATTCAGGTAAACTGACAAAGTAATTGTTGTTTTTGATTTATCCGCTATTTTTAGCTTTTTGTTATCATTCTGCTACTTTTAGCTTTCAGCCAGACTTTTGTCATTTTTGCTTATAGCCAACAAATATTAGCCATTATTATTATTATTATAGGCTAGCTTCTAACTAGCCTTTTGTACTTCGAGATTTTAACTAACCTTTTGCCAACATTTTGCCACTTTTAGCTTGTCTAGCTTTTTTTTTTTTTTTAGCTTTTAGCTAACTTTTAGTTGATAGCGATTTGTTATCATTACCACTTTTAGCTAGCATTTGTTTATTTCAGATTTTAGGTTGTGCCTTACTTATTCTAACTAGCATTTTGCTACTTCAGCTCCCATTTAGCTCATTTTAGCTATATTTTACTTTTAGCTTCAACAACTCAGTTTCAGCTTTTTTAGCAAAGTCATTCAGAACTCAACATTGAAATAAAACTATTACTTTAAGCAATTATTTTGAAACAATCTGAGCTCTCCTTAGATAAGTATTGTCAACTGATTTTTATGTACGTGAATGTTTCTGTTCAGTGCCTGAGACGACTTCTGTTGTGAAATGGCGCTAGATAAATAAACGGAATAGAAATTAACTGTTTGGGCCATTCAGATCATTATTTATGCGTCAACAAAATATTAATTTAAAATATTAAATGCACTAAACCATAATAAAAGTTCTGTGGACCGAGCTGTGACGATCATTACTGTGAAAATCAAAAATTATTACTTTAAAACCGGAAAGTTTCGGTTTGTTACAAAACCGGGACATGACAACTTTTCCCACTTATGACCCAGATACTTCACACAAGCCTGCAGACTTTTTAAAACACTGCAATGTTTCCTTCACTGTAGCTCAACATTAATGATGAATTTGGACCTTTAATAGAACATGAAGTCAAAGCATGACATGTTCCTGAAGCAGTGCATTTATCACCCCTGACGGGTGCAGAAATGAACCGTTCTTCACGGACCTTTCTTTCTGTTTTCAGTTAAGTTTCCAAGCTGCATTCAAGATCAAGGCAAAGTTCTTCTACCCTCAGGGCCCACATGAGGTTCTTTTAGCTTGGGTTTAGAACATTTTAGCCCTCTTGTTGATCATAACTCAGGACTTTAAAATGTGGGTGGCACAACGCTGAAGTGGGTCACACAAGAAGTGGGTTGTGGCTTTTAACCTGCTGGTTGATGTGGCGTTTTTGCGAAAAATGTGCCTTTTCTTCCTGCGTCTCTGAGACTGCAGTGTTCCAGTTTTCTCCCACAGACCAAAGACACAAAACTTTGTTTTAAACTGGCCACAGTTCCAAGTGTGTATGGTTCTCTGCCTCACTACAACGGCTCTGTAACGTACAGAGGGTATGACCAGGATGTTGCATTCAACCTTTATTTATACAGGTTAGTCTCATTGAGTCACAAAGACTCATGTACAAGAGAGAACTGTTTAGACAACATATAAAGTACAGACAGTAAACTACAGTAGAATGCTATTAAAATAAAAGTAGTGTTATAAAGCATTAAATCAAGGTGCCATATAAAATGAGGTAAAATACTAAAAACAAGAACAGATTTGCTTTGATGATTCTATGGAAATTATCAAATGTTTAAATTCCCTAAAGAAATAAGGTGTTCTTGTTGCAAGTTGTCCCAGGTTACAGGAGCAGAGTAAGAAAATGTCTTTTTGTCGAGTTCAGTCTGCACTGAAGGTCATGATGGCCTGAGAGCGCACGCTGTAACTGCACTGATGACGTGACATGTGGGGGGAGATGTAAGAAGGCAGCAGACCAAGGAGTGATTTAAAGATGAAAACGTTCCAGTGTGACACAAGAGTCTGTGTGAAGTTAATAATGACCAGCTGACCAATGAGTAAAGTGCAGTGATGGGTACGGTAGTTACAACCAGTTAGACAGCATCCAACATCAGCAAGGAGCCGGCTGGAGCAGACATGTAAATATTGTTACCATAGTCAATGGCCGGTAGGAAGGTAGCAGTTACAAGGCGTTTGCTGGCATT